AACCGGATGCCAGTGAGAGCAGCCAAAATTTCTGCCTTAGTTGAAGTTGCAGCCCCAGTTGGTCCACTGAAAACCCAACTAATGTTTCCATCCCTCCTGAAAACACATACAACACCTGCTTCACCTGGATTATCAAAGGTACTTCCATCAAAATTCAGAGTTATCTCCTCATCCTAATTGAGTTTCAAACTAAGAGGAGCAGGGTAGGAGGTATGATGGGAAAATAAAAAAATTTACCGCATTCCTGTGAAAATCATAAATAGAGATTGCTTTAAAATACTCAGAACTGATGGCTCAAAGGAAGCACCTGTGGGAGATAATGGAAATGAGCTCCTCCTGGTTTCTAGTCTTGTTATTAAACACATGGTTGTTTCTCTCTTCCCAGACATTCCATAAAACAGCATGAGCAATAGATTGCCACAAAATGTTTCCTCTTTTGCTAAAGCCTCTTCCTATCCACTGTCTTAAGAAATCCACAACATGTTCTGAAAAAACCCAGCTATGATCAAACATCTATACTACTTTAAAAAGCACGAATGGTTTCAAGAATATTTCTGGAATTTTCTAAGGACAAAATTTACCCCTCTATATTTAAATTTATTGATAAAAAATGAGAGCAAATAGGGTAACCGGTTCTTAATATTAAATGAGTTGAAGAGAGGTAATTTAAAGATATTCAATGCATTCAATTCTCTCTCATTAAATCCAACATTTAAGTTATTAACTTGCAGTCATGTTCATTGAATCATATATTTTAGTCATTTTTGTTTCTTCTCATCATTAAGTTCTATTAATTAAATCCATACTTAATAAATTAATAATTCCAATAACATAAAAGCTTATACTTTTAAAATCTACCTAGCAAAAATAGTGTTTTCACCTAGGTGGTGGTAAGAAATTAAATCATTTTGGGTCAAATGGGTTAATCCATGTTGCCACGATTAAATAATAAAATTAAAAAATAGATAAAATGAAAAAAATAGAAATTAAAAAACTTGGGACATTTTTAACATACATATTAAACAATAATAAGTATGATAAATAAGAAATGTTTTTATTAATGATGGAAATGGAATGTAAAATTTAAAACCAATTGGAAATGAAAATATTTTCCTATTCTCTCTAATTAAATCCTATATTTAAGATATATTTTTCTCATCATTAAATTCTTGTAATTAAATCMWYAATATTAATTTTAWTAGTATAAAAATAAATATTTTGAAAAGTAATTTGAAAACAAAACCATTTTCTTCCCTCTTGGTGGTGGGTAAGCAATTCGACCATTTGGGGTCAAATGAATTAATAAATAATGCCATAATTAAATAATAATAATATTAATTAAAATAAATAACTATGAAATGTAAGAAGTATTTTTATTAATGATGCAAATGCAATGCCAAATTCAAAATTTACCTAGAAATGAAATGATGTCATAGTTAAATAATAAAATTCTTAATAATAGAAAATAGAAAGAATCACAAAAAAAAGGATAGAGAAAATTTTGGGCACATATCTAATGTTATATATTTATAAAAACTAAAATATTGGGTACATCTCTAATATTGTGCATTCATTATATTGAACAAAAACAAGTTTTATACATAAGAAATAATTTTATCAATGATGAAAATGTAATACAAAATTTAATGTTAACCTAGAAATCAAACAACTTTTATTTTTAGATGGTGGGTTAGTGGTTTGAGTCAAATGATACCATAGACAAACAAAGATTAAGTGTGATAAGTAAAAAAATATTTTATATAATGTAAATGAAATATATAATTTAAAGGGAAAATTATAGTCAAAGTCAGTTGTACATTTAAAAACCAACAAAACTTTGACAACTGACTCTACATTTCTAATTATAAAAACCCTCACCATGTCATCGGAGGCTTATGTGGATGTTGCCAACATGGGAATTGGGACTCTTAGTCCATGTTGGACACAGTAAAAAACCTATACCAAAAATAGGTTTTCAGTTTCTCTCCCACTCCCTTAGTCTCTCGATCTCCCTCCCTTCTCTCTCACTCTCACAGTCATCTCTCGATCTCCCGCTCCCTCTGTCTTTTCCACTCTCTCAGCTTCGATCTATAGCCAAATCAAAACCCCTCTCTCTCTCTATTGTTCTCCCTCACTCTCCCTCTTAGTCAATATCTCATTCTCCCTCAATCTCTATCGTTCTCCAGTTGGTGTAAATTTCATAGCCAAAAGCTTCTTGTGAATTTTTATTAAATTGGTGTAATAATTTTTGAACCATACCAAGTTGGTCTCATGCTCTTTTATACAATGTGATTAATACCATATAAGTGTGTAAGAGAATAAAAAAAAAACGAGAGGGAGTGAGAGAAACTGAGGGAGAACGCTAGAAATTAAGGGAGAATGAGAGGTCGACCAAGAAAGAGAATGAGAGAGATTAGGGAGAACGATAGGTAGAGAGAGAATAAGAGAAATTGATATAGAGAATGTAAATACAAAAACCAAAAACCATTTTTATTTATCTTCAAATCACATAGTTGTTGAGCAGATAAAGATGACTATGAGTGAGAGAGTGTGACGGAGGGGGAGAGAGAGAGAGAGAAACTAAAAACCTTTTTTTTTTTTTTTTCTAATCACCCAACATTAAAGGACAATTTCAGTATAAGCTTTTTGTTGTATCCAACATGGATTAAGTGTCTCATGTTGGCAATAGCCACATAAGCCTCCGATGACATGGCAAGGTTTTTATAATTTGAAATGTAGAGCCAGTTGTCAGAGTTTTGTTGGTTTATAGACCAACTTGTAGCCTAATTTTAAATGTACAACTGGCTCTGACTATAATTTTCCCTAATTTAAAACTAATCCAAAAGAAAAGTTATTTTCTTATCTAAATGGTGGGTCAGTGATCCAAGCTTTCAAATAAACCCATGATGTCATAATTGAACAATAAATATTTAAATTTATTTTTAATCATATTGTTACTTTTTGTTAATTTTCAATTTCTATCTTAACTATGGTATATCTAAAATTCAAGTAATTAATATGAAAAAAAATTCTCACGTGCAACGCATGTACTTAATTACTAGTAATAAGAAAGAAGTACCAAATTTTCCTGGTTTCCTCACAATGAAGCAGGAGATGATGATCTGATTCCCCATCTTTTAAACATAAACAATAGACATGCAGTGAGAAGCAGGTTCTTCCAAGATTCTTTTTCTAGAGAAGATTATAAGTGTTTATTCTATTCCGGCAGGCTTACCACACAAAAAAAAACAAAACCTGGATCAAATATGAGAGCACCACATCCTCTTGGAAGGAAACTGAACAGAGGCCTGATTTTTTGCAATCAAATCCTTGAAACAGGACTTGGTTGAGAACTTGCTTGCTGGGTGAAGGGTTCAAAGACGGAGGTTAGATGCACAAGGGGAGAGATAGACCTCCTTAAGGGTGTGAAAGAAGTTAGCAACTTCACTGATTTCTACATCCCTTAGCGGTCTTCATGCTTCAAGTTCCAGTTGAGTTGAGATGGCTGAGGATAAACAAACTGCCAATGGTGAAGAGCATAGCTTTCAAGGCGCCAAGGCAAGTCTAGGCAATAGTGGGGCGCCTTGTCGCCTAGTCGTCTAGGCGCCTGCCTAGGCGATGGATATTTTTTAAGTAAAACCATATATCCTAGGGTAGTTCCCTAGGTTCCATAACCATCTTTCCTTATTAATTATTCATAATTTTCATAAGAGAAGTATAAATTTCATGTTTAAGTCTAGAAAATCAACATTTTATGAGAAGAAAAAGAACAAAGGAAAGAAAATTCAAAAAATATAGGGGCTGAACCCCTACTTTTGTTATAGTAAAGAAGAAAGGAAAAGGTGGAAGAAGAAGAAGAAGATGTGGAAGAAGAAAATGTGTTGATTAGGCAAAATTTTAAGTTCTTCCCTTGCTTATTGGTTCAGGTTTTGAAAATTTTGAGGGTTCAATCAAGGATCAAATTTTTGATACGATACTCCCCGTATCGGGTGTATTGTATTGTATCTTTGGGGTACCGATACCTGTTTACAGGTGTTTCCGGGGACCCATTTTTTTAAATAATATATATATATATGTTTAAAAATGAAATTGAAAACCAAAGAAATTAAAAAAAGGGGGAGTATCGTTGTAAGTACCGATACACCTCTGCTAATACACAGAGGTGTATCGATACTTTGAACCATGGGTTCGAATCAGCAGTTGGCAATGTTTGCGTTGATTAAAACCTAACAAAATAAGAAAATAATAAAGGGAAATTAGTATATAAACACATAAAATGAATATTCTAGTTTAATAATGTCTATTTTATAATTATAATGTCAAAAAGTTAAAAATATAAAAGTATTTTATAACCTAGTGCACAAAAGTGCTTGGCGACTGGGCAAGGCGAGCCTCCAAGGGCGCCTTGTCGCCTAGGCACCCGCCTAGGTGTCACCTTGACAACTAGCCACACCAGAAACCCTTACAAATCCTGTTATTCTCCCCACTTTCCACCTTGAAGGAACACCATTGAGAAAAAGAACATATCTTTTTTTTTGATAATTAGAAAAAGAAGGATTTTTGGCATTTGAATTTCATGTTTTAATGGAATCTGGAATATTATGAGAGAGTTGTTACTTCATTTCTGTGGAACAGAATTGTAAATAGAATTCAAATCCAATTCAGCTCCCACAATTCAAATGTATCCTATGAGTATTCCATTTGTATTATGTTAGTAATAAGAGGAAGTATGAGCCATGCTGTTTCTGTATCCTTCCCACATTGTGATTCTTCTATATTGGCATATGCTCTTAATGAATACAATCCTTGCAATTTATTTTTTGATTTCTGACTGTTAGTACAGTTCATGTGATTCCTTTCCACATTAATTCCTTATAACCTTAGCTCTCATACAGTTCATGTTAAAGGACATTCCATGTTTAATTGCGACTATATTTTTTGGTTTCCGACTTTTTAAAGTTGGATGATATTATAATTATTGATTGTTTTGCATTCTTTAGGTTATTGCAAATAGAGCAGCTGAAATTCTTGGTCATAAACGTGGTGAAAAGTTTGTGCATCCAAATGACCATGTTAATAGGTCGCAATCTTCAAATGACACATTTCCAACTGTAAGGCATCTACTTATTTTATGGTCTTGGCATATGTTGTAGGTTCTGCATATCTTTCTAATAACAATGATTTTGTTGCTTTTCTCTTAAGAGAATTTGTTTTAAAGATAGCAAGAATTTCTCGCTTTGCAATTTAAATGACTAAACCGCTATTGTTTTATTAGTTGCTAACTAGGACTATGTTCCATTCTTCAGGTCATGCACATTGCTGCAGCAGTTGAAATAAATTCAAGGTTTATACCAAGTTTGAAACAATTGCATGCTTCACTAGATTCAAAGGTTGAAAAATATTTAGATTATTTCTTTCTGGGTACAATTTTATGTATCTTAGCTACAGCTCATTCTGTATGTATTTCATGTGGTTGGCCTGCTAATGTTCATACACCAGAGCATTTCATATTGCATGTTGTGCATCTCGATCCCTGTATTTTATACACCTGAGATTTTTTTTTTTTGAAAAGAGTTAAGATAACTTTATTTCTGAAAAAGCATATAAACAGAGAAGCCAGAGCATTTTCATGTATCCATGTATGGGTGGTTTGACTTAAGAGGCTTGAGACCCAGACGTGCTTGTAAAGATGTATCCAAGTATCTGACTAATGCAAAATGTGGTATTTTTATTTGGCACTACAAAGTTTTAAATATAAATAGTACACAATTTTGTACAATATTTCAGTATGTGAAGAAATGGTGTTAATTTTTCAGATTAGTCAGGTAATGGTTGATTAAATGCATTTAGTTCCCAAGTTTTTGTTAAGCAGTGTGTCAGTGTATCTGGTTCTATTGATCAAATCTACTTATCTTTTGGCGTGTGAGTCTATTTATAATACTGGCTTTTCCTTGAATTCTGGTTGTGTATTATAGCCAAGATGCTTGAATTGGTTAACAATGTATGGCATTAACCCTACTATGACATGATGTTCATAAAGAACCATGCTCAAGTCATGAAGATGGTAATGAAATTTCTTGATCAAAATTTAATCCTTTTGATCTCTTTTTCTTTACTTTTTGGGAAAGGTTTTGACCAATGTTAAATTCTGAGGATTTCTTTGAAGATATCCTTCTAGTGCTTTTCAGGACCCTCTGCCCCTATTTACATTCTTGGAACTGTGTGTGTGCTTAGGGAATTAGAAAACACTCATCAAAAAGGGGAAAAAAAAAAGAAAAAGTGAATTATAAAAGGGCACTTATAGTTTTGGTGCGTAATTGGTGTTCCATATTGATATGGTATGGTGAAGTCAAATATTCAAACTTTCATGTCAATTACCATAGCTTCAAATTGAAACCTGAGTGGAAACTGTCTAGTTCACACTCTACTTGAGACATAATTTAAGTGTCAAAACTTTCCATTTTGGCTTGAGTTTGGTGATGTTGAATTAATTTATTTTATTTTGTTAGGATCTGTTTGGTTGGTTAAAGCGTATTATTTTTTTCTGTTATTGTACTTGACTTACAGCAGCGGCACAAAGGTCTTTTCCCTTCTTATTTTTTGTTGCCCTATATTATTATAATAGAAGCTGGCGCCACCAGCACTGTTCCATTGCCTCTAATCCTTCTTCTTCCTTTCTTTCTTCTTCTCTTTTTCTCCTCTTCTTCTTTATTCTCTTCTCTTCTCTTCTTCTTTATTTTTCAATCGGATTTATTGTGAAGATGGTATCAGAGCAAGGCCATTGAATCTGGGCGATAAAGTTTCTTCTAAAAGTTGCTGAATCTGGGCGGAACAGAGGATTAAATCTGGGTTGATCGAATCAGATCTGCAACTGGTAGGTCACGGATGACCTGCTTTCTCTGCTTGCTGGCTTGATTTCATGTGTGTAAGGATCTCTCTTAGTGATTAATGCTTGTAGACCTTCTGGAAAACTAGTAGGCTGGGACCATTATTCCATACAGGTCTGAAAATCAGTTTTGTCATATTGTTTTTTCTAGAAATTGGTGCTGTTCTTGTGCTCAGATTAAGTCCAAAACTGAAGTGTGTGTGGACTGCTCACTCGTTGTGTGTGGAGTTTTTTGTTTTGATAAAAGGAGGGATCCTAAGTTGAGAGTTTAGATAAAAAATTCTGTGTTGACCATGTCGTCTGAGAATTCTGCTACTTCAGGGGTTTTAGGAAGACAAAATGGAGTGAGTGGGAGAATGGATATGAGTTTCTCCATGGCTGTTATTCCCTTTGATGGTCTGAACTACCTTGAGTGGTCTAGGGGAATAAAACTCTACATCACTGCTAGGGGGAAAATAGGATACATCAATGGGAAAGTGAAGGAACCAAAGAACGGAAGTGCTGAATATGATAGGTGGAACTAAGAAAATAGTATGGTGATGTCATGGCTCTTGGTTTCCATACTGCCATAGGTAAGAAAGACATTTATGTGGGTTGAAACTGCTTGTGAAATATGGGAACAAGCAAAGTCCACCTATTCAGAGCAGAGGCACTATGCTAAGATATACCAACTGCAAGTTGAATCCTCTACTTGCAAGCAGGGGGAGAGGAGTCTCTTGGTGTACTATTCAGATCTGACATCGATATGGAAAGAACTTGATCACTATCAAGATGTAAATTGGAAGTGTGATGAAGATGCAAAGGCATACAAGTCACTTGTATCTCAACAACAGGTATTTGCCTTTCTCTTGGGGCTGAATCCTTCATATGAGTCCATCAGGGTGCAGATCTTGGGAAGTAAAGACTTGCCATCAGTTCAGGAGGTTTATGCCTTAGTTCAGTCAGAAGAGAGAAGAAGAAGTGATGAATTGTATAAAGGGGGAGCCAGTTGCCCTAGCTGTCCTGGGAAGTTTAGATACTAATGTCGGAGGTGGTTTTAAGAAAGGTGGCTCTCAGAAGAGAACAGATGATAAGAGTAAACATTGGTGCACTCACTGCTAGAAGACAAGACACACCAGAGATACATGTTGAGATCTCCATGGAAAACCTAAATGGGCGCAGGATTTGGTAAGAAGTCAACAACTGATCAGGGCAAGAAACCAAGTTAGCAGAATAAAAAAAAGTATAACTCAACTAATATGGCATTTCAAGAGACTAATCCCATGGTAACTCAGGAAAGGCATCCAAGTTCTGACCCTAAGGAAGAGATCATCAACTCCTTTCGTGACCATTTGGAGTTATATGGTAGGACTCTTTGCCAGATGGATTTTGGTCCTACTTCTACCTCTTTCGTGTCTACATCAGGCAACACTGCCACTGCCTTCCATGTGTCATCTCATACCTCTGGTTCTCCTTGGGTAATCGACTCCGGAGCCTCAAACCACATGACTGGTAAGTCAAATTTATTTCAGGCATACAACCGTCTCTCTGGGAGAGATAAGGTGAGACTAGCTGATGGTTCTTTCTCCACCATAGCCGGCCAAGGAACCATATCTCTCCCACTCGGCCTTACCCTTTCTAATGTACTGCATGTTCCTAAATTACCTATAAATTTGCTTTCCATTAGTAGTATTACTCACTCCTTGAACTGTTCAGTTACTTTCTTTCCGTCTTCATGTGTGTTTTAGGATTTGGCCTCGGGAAAGACGATTGGTAGAGGAAGCATGGTGGATGGTCTCTACATGTTGGAGAATAAAGCTGGTCTTGTGGCTACAGAGTCCTTGAGTTCGTCCAGTGAGAGTCAAGCCTATTTATGACACAGTCGTCTTGGTCATATTTCTTTTGAGTCATTAAAAAGTTATGTTTCAAAAGTTGTTTGAGTCTTTGTCAGTGAGTCAATTGCAGTGTCAGGCATGTCAA